TACCTGTATGTAGATGAAACAGAAACCTATTTAATTTTTAGTCTTTAGAACATTTCTATAGTTAGTTTTTTTCTGTAATGGTGTAATTACCTGATAGAATCTATTATTCCAATGGCTTAGATTTCATGCGTAAGACAAATTTATTTCAAACTATTTTTTAATCTTGGGAATCTCAAACTATAAGATGATGCAAAATGTTTTGTTCTTAAGCAAAAATTAAAAGTAGAAATAATACCAAATGCAAATTTTTAATTAGAAGTGAAAAGAGAGGCCGTGAAATGCTTAATTGGAAGTAGATTTAAGGATAAAGATGTAATATGGTTTAAGGAATGTGTGAATTCTTTTGAATTAGAAAGCACTGGAATGTTGAGCCTATATAAAGTGGCTTGATAGTTAGGGAGGGAATAGGTAACCCCCAAGTGATGCTTTTTCCAAAATTTTGCATGTAAAAAAACTTCTTTTATTTTTCTTTTCTTTTTGGTTGTGAATGGAGCTGGGGCATTGATATTTGTGAAATTGTAACGCAAAGTTTGTATATAGTTCAAAAGTTTATAATTTTTTATTCTGCATTTTGAAGTGTATTTTGTCTTTAATAGATACAACTGTAAGTACTGTGTACACTATTAAACCAATAAAATGTTTATAAAATATGTTGTTGATTACTTTCATTGCAGTCACACTTTATCTGGAATTACAGGGATACTCAGCAGTTCTGAACAGCTAGAAGTATCCTTTGAAAGTTTGAAATTGTAGAAACATCTTAACAACAAGTTAAACAAATTATGCATTTTCACTGCATAGTTACATTAAGTTTGATGCAAATTGATGTGTCCAGGAGTTACTTTCTTATTACCTGATTAAAGAACTATCTTGCATTTACTAGAACTCTAGTGATTCAATCCTTTGTTCCATAAACTTTCTATACTGAAATTTAAACTATAATTTGCTTTGGCTTAAAAGATAGTTTACAATTTTCCCCCATTTTGAATTGAATTCATGGAAATTTGCATAAATTAATCTGGAACCATTATTCTTTGGACATTTCCTAATCTTAATCACAGTTACAATCAAGATGACAACATCAGAGTGTTTATTTGTTTATCGAACCTTTTTACATAGAAAAATGGCAAATTGGCACATTTTATGCTGTAATGTATTACATGCCATAGTTATTACATAATTAAGTAGATATTAAGTAACAAATTGGCCAGGTTGTCTGGGCATCTGCCATTTTTGTTGATCTGTAATTTCTACTCTGAGCAAATAATGACTTCTCTTTTTAAATCACAAGTATATCAAAATACTTTATTTTGGGTGAATTGTCAATACTGAAGTTCATCTGTTAGTTTCAGCAACCCATTATAATGGAACTTATCTTCATTTGCATCTCTAACAGTTTAAAAAAATGCTTTAATTATGAGGGTATAAGGATTTTATAAACTTTTGCAATCTGGTCTAATGTATCTCAAAAATCAAGATAATGCTTTTTAATACTGCATTCTTTTAAAAGGAGAATGTTAATTGGATTTCAGAATTTTAAAAGGATTGGTTTTGAAGTGAAGGGTTTGTTCGTGGTTCAGCTTGGCACTCAGAATCTCTAACAAGTCATAGCAATGTCACAATAGCAATAGCAGTTAGACAAAAATACTGCTTTCACAGTGCTTTAGAACTCTAAGCGGTTTACATTGTCAGCATATTGCCCCCAACAATCTGGGTTCTCATTTTACCGACCTTGGAAGGATGGAAGGCTGACTTAACCTTGCAACAGTCAGGATCAAACTGCTGTGCAGCTGACAGTCAGCAGAAGTAGCCTGCAGTACAGCATTCTAATTATACCACCATGGCTAATGATGATGATGATGATGATGCACGTTATGATGAAAATGGTGCATATGTACTTATATCATGAAGTCCAACACTTATACATAAATTGCATAATGTGCAGGCCGATCTCATGATATACATTTGTCCCCTTGTCTCCCCAGATGCTGGTAATGCCACTCAAGTGTAGCATTTTTTTCTGAAGTATGCCATTTAAAAAATATGGCTCCTCAACTTTTACTAAAATTATGAATCAGCAGAAGATAAACCTCTGAACCACTGTAAATAAAATTAATGCTAGTGACATCAGTTCAAATATAATGGAAAACAATGTTCTTTTTATCAATACTGTGATAAGATTCAACTGGCAGTTCATGCCAACATCCAACATCTGTGCTTTGAGACCATAAATTGCAGGATAATTTTATTTTTTCATGCTTTTGTGCATAATCAGAATGCCTTCACTTTCACTTGCTATTTATTATTTAACCATATCATGCTGATTATCAGATTTCAGCCCATTCTAAGCCTGATGGAGGAAGTGAGGGATGTATTTAGAAATGTGGGAGTATGCAAGAGGTATTACTGCATGGGTTGGGAAGGATGTGAAGGAAGTTTGCCAGAGATGGCATGCAATTTGGGAAGAGCAGAGAGGTGAATAGCATAGATCGTGAAAGGTGTTAGAGGGCCCAGATTGTTGGGGGCAATATGCTGACTGGGTTGTAAAAGCACTGTGAAATGGTATATAAGTCTAAGTGCTATTGCTAGGGGGCACGTGAAAGGTGCTCTGTGGATCATGTTGGCTACATGGAGAAATAGGTCAAGATGGGGGCATGAAGGTCTGTGTGTGGGGGGGTACTGTATCTGTTGGGGATGGCTTGTGGGGGAAGTGGTTGAGAAGCATGCTTGGGAGTGAGCAAGAGGTGCTTTGCAATCAGACTGCATGAGGACGGCACAGCGTGAAATGCACATGGGTGCCCAAGAGTCATCAGAGGGGTCGGGATGAGTTGGGATTGGGTGCCTGGGGTGCTATGGAGTGAGGGAAAGCACACGGGGGTAGCATGGATCAGAAAGGGTCATGGAGGTGCCCAAGAGGTGCTGCATGGGTCACGGAAGGTGCTTGAGGGGAGGCAGGTTGGAGAAGGTGTGCAGGGGTATGCAAAAAACGTTGCAGAGCAAGGGATGACATTTGGGGGACAGTGCGAATTGAGAAGGCACACAGTGGGGTACCCAAAATGAGCCACAAGAGTCATGGAAGATGTGTGAGGTGTGTACTGGGTGCTGCATGGGTTAGGGAAGGCAAGTGGAGAGGGGCACAGGTCGTGGGGAGGTGGCATGGGCCAGGAAGGACGCATAGGAGTTCCTTCTTCCCTTCCCCCTTCCCAGCAGGCAGATAAATGGCTGCTGTTGGGTGGGAAAAGGAGTGAGGGATTGCAAGACAGGCTGGGAAATTGTCAAGGAATGAAGAAAACGAAGATCTAGTGACAGCAACAACAACCCAGCAGTATAGCATATAATAATATTTTACCGCAGATTCCGTTTATAAAACAAAATAGAAACTTCATAGTACAAGATAAAGACCATTTATTAAATATAATTATTTGATTTTGATGTATAAAAGTACTTAGCAATTTGGTGAGATTATAAAACAGCTTACATTATCTGTAAAAACTGGGCAAAGTTTTACCTGTGCAAGCAGCACCAAATGATAATTTGTTATAGATGATTAATTCATTTACCTTCTTTGAGTGAACTGCCTGGGAAAAGAGGAGACCCTAACACTTTCCAAAATCAAGTTTACTCCTTTACAAATCAAGTTTTTTTGTTGCAGGCTTTCCTTCCCTTTACTAGCAAGGATATTAACAGCAATGAAATGCTAGCAATCAGGAAATGGTTGCTGGAAGAATCAAAGCAAAACTTAACAGGAAGCAATTAACACTTAGGTTTGTAAATTTCAGGTTGTTTTAATTCTAAGAAAAAAAAATTTTTTTAAAGTAAGCAGAGTGGAAGTCAAAGTAATCCAATAGCTGACTTTGATAGAGATTAGATATTGCCAAGAAAATACTGGATTCACATAAGCCATGGTTTATTTTAATAATTGTTGAAGCACACACAGTGGCTTCATTCATTCATGCTTTTGGTGCATAATCAGAAAGTCTTCACTTTCACTTGTCATGCCCTTTATCAGAGAGATTTCAGCCCAGTCTAATTGTTGAAGCACACACAGTGGCTTCATTCACAATACAAGTAGTCACCACTAATTCAGCAACAGTTCAAAATTATGACAACGAATGAGGCCTTAAAACTGGTCCACAAAGTTTCAACTGTGGCAACATCCCCACTGTCATAAGGATGGCATTCTGGGCATTCAGGTGCCCAGCTCACAATTAAAACTTGGCAGTATATGCAGCGTTTCTTACCAGCTTCTCACATGCAAACTCAGGGGGAAGCTGGCAATGAAGATCACAATGTGCTCCCATACCACTCCCAGCCTTTTCTTCTGAGGAAGTCCACTACAGAGTAAGAGATCTTGTACTCTGTAGTATCCTCTCTCCTGTTGTGCTCCAAGTGAGAGGGATCTAGGAATCAGCCACTATGAGCCAGGAGTGTGCTACAGTTGCCAATAAAGCCAATGCGGTCCTAGGTTGCATCAACAGAGGGATAGTACCAAAATTACATGAGATGTTAGTGCCACTTTATACTGTAGGACCATACATGGAATATTGCCTCTAGTTTTTATAGCCACTGTACAAAAAAAGATGTTAAACTCTAGAAAAAGTACAACAAAGAGCAACAAAGATTATTAGGGGACTGAAGGTTAAAGCATACAATGAATGATTGCGAGAATTTGGAATATCTTGTCTAATGAAGTGTAAAACTAGGGGTGGCCTGATAGCGGTCTTCCAATATTTGAGGAGCTGTCACAGAGAAGAGGGGCATCAACCTATTTTTCAAAGCACCTAAGGGCAAGGCAAGAAGTAATGGATAAAAGCTTAACAAAGAAAAATCCAACCTAGCACTAAGAAGAATTTCCCTGTCAGTTAGAACAATTAATCACTGGAATGGGTGGGTGCTCGGTGAGTGGAGGTTTTTAAGAAGAGATTAGACGGCCATGTGTCCAGAATGCTATGTCTCTTGCTTGAGCAGGGAGTTGAACTACAAGATTTCCAAGGTCTGTAACACAATGATCACTGCAAATATATGGGGCTTTCTGTTGTTGTTTTTTTCCAAATGAAAAAACTTCTTAATTTCCCACGAGATATTTTTAAATGGGTAGGAGAGTATCTTTGAGAATGCTAAGAAATTCTACAGCAGCATGACTGACAAAGGAACTAGAACTGATTTGCAGATTCAGTTTAAAACTTTTGTTTTACACAAATGCTTCTATTACGTTTGACAGCAGAAATCCAATGGATTAGTTCTTTGCATTTAATTTGCAGGATGCACAATTCCCCAAGGCCTTGTTTTGTTTTCTGTCTTCATATAGACAGCAAATATTTTCCCACACAAGCTCTTGATGCCACTATGGCATGGCAAAATTGGCAAATGTCTACAATGAAATTTCTGGTAAATTTTTTGAGTCCTCTCCTTTCTGCTCTTCATTGTTCAGCTACTCCAATTTACTGGTTGTGTACTGTTTTATTTCTCCAGGAACTTTTAGGAATCTGGAATTAAGCATTAAAAGAAAAATCAACTTTTTTTTTCCTGATGATCCAATACTCTTTCTGTCCCTCCCGACTCCTTTCAGTAATACACACGGATACACACAAAAACACATAATCCAGGAATGAAAAGCTATTGATCTGTATCTATTAAAATATTTATGTTAATGCAGGAAGTCAAAAAGTGTTACAATGGATATGCTAATATCCCTGCTTTGTTATATGAAAAGATGCTTTAAAATGAAAAATGTGTTTCTAATCCTATTTGCATAGAATTTCAAAACACATTAGTCAAGTATTAAAATGCAATTGTAATTCATTTTGTTGACAAGGGATTACGGTCCAGAATTTCCAAGATTCAAAGGATAAAGTTGAAATGAAGGAAGAAAAAAATCCCCCCAAAATAATAAAAGTTAAACCTGTCAATCAAGATTATTTAATTATGAAATTTATACAGCCACCCATCTCACCTGGTATTCCTAGGTGGCTCATGGCAACCAGGAAAAATATCAACATAAAAACATATCACACTTTTCCTATCAAGATAACAGATCTTGTTAATCCTCTGACTCAACCCCTTGGGCAAAAATCAGCAAGGTCTGAAAAAAACGTGAACTCTGAGCAACCAAGCAGAGGCAGGAAGGTTCTTTCCATCAGAACAGCTTTAGAAATAACATGGGGAAAATTCCTTTTTTTTTTCTTTATGCGTTTGCTTTACATTCCCAGAGGAGAGGTATCTCTTCAGATTGGCTTCTTATCAGGAAAGAAAACACCTCAACCCAGAGAAGGTTTTTTTTTTTCTTTTTATTCTTTTGCCACTGTTTTCAATTCTGAATAAGTTTCATAAGCTTAATCTACATAATAAAAGATTTGTATCATCTCATTTCTGGTATCAATGGGGTCAAACAGGAAACTTGGCCTTTCACACATCTCAGCCATTTGATTAACAAACCATTTGAGAGAAGAATTTTTATTCTGTTCCTCCGAAGTAAAGTTGCAGAGAGCACCTACTGAACAAGGGCTGTGAGAGGGATGGATCTTCATCTCACCTGAATAATAATTTCTGCCCAGCTTCCTTTTTGATGAGGTTGAGTTTATAATAATGCCTCAACGCTCTTGACATCTTCTCATATGTCATATTCCTTCGGTTCTGAAAATTGTTTAAAAATTGTGATTATAACTTCAATTTGCTTTCTCTTGCCTAATTACTAATTTGAATTAGAAAAGAGTTGTCAAGAAACCTGCATGCAATAACCTCTTTCACTGGAGATAGGATGGGAATTATGTTAATAAATACCTTGTTTTACATACAGTTAAAATACCAGCTTTGTGAATTAATTTAGAATTAAAAGAAGGTAAATGGGAAGCACTCTGGTGCAATGATAAGACAGCAAACTTAAGACCTAGGAAACCCATATTTAAGTCCTCATTCAATCTCTAGTTGACTCTGGCCAGTCGTAATATTTCAGCCCAACTTATTATGCCAAATCTGACAATTAAAGGAGGAATGCCAGTGCATGCTACCTTGAATTCTTACAGGAAAGTCAAGGCAGACATACTACTGTATAATAAATACATGCAAGTACTCCCTTTGTCCCAGACTGTATCAAATCATCTTGTGTACCCTCCTTTAATCTGTCCTTGTAAAAGTCCTAGAAGCACAATGTCTGATGCTCTAGATGATGGAGATTATACTTTAATGTTATGAGAGCCAGGCTGGAAACGGCTAGACTGACTCCTGTTGGAATATTCCAACTGGTCATAGTTCATTATGAGACCAGGATCAGGATATTCCCAGCTCTACTTTTAGCAATAATGCTAAATCTTTGCAAATGAAGAGGCACACCTTGGGAATATAATTCCCACACTGGGAATATAACTTTGTTAAATTATCTCCAAAGAACATAGGGGGACTATGGGAGATGTACAAATTGGTGCCCTCCAGGTAGGCTGAGAGTGCTAGCCCTAATCAGCCCATCTGAACGGAAGTTTATCTCTACTTAAGGAGTTTAGAAGGATCACCTTATTTAGTACCTTGTGATTACCCCAGAGTCCAGCAAGGCCACGGGGATTTACAACCCGAAAGATCTTGGTTTCTTTGTCTTCCCACTTGATAACTGATTCATACTGGCTATCAGAGAGGAGCCGGTAGATGTAATCCAAAAGTAACCTACAGTCTGAGAATTAGTTACATTGAGAGAAATGTTGTTCAAGACAGAATAACATGGATTAGTTCCTGCTACACTGCATCACTGTTAAAGACAGCTGTAGGATGCATTTGCAAGTGACCACAGCTGAGTAGTGAATAAAGTTGGATTCCCATGCTTCCAAATCTGTGTTATTAACCAGTGGTGGGAGTGGAGCAAATACTCTTGACATACAAGAACAGGTAAGCATTCCTGTCAACCACATAGCCAAAGAAAAACAGATCTTGGTAACCTTACCCTTACCTGATATTTTCCCCCCGACCGGAGCAGCAGATTTTACAGGAAAAGAGCAAATGTTTCCACCATGGCTGATCTCTGGGTTGCTATAAGCAAGAGGTGTCATCCCAGGAGTAGACAGTGTCTTGGTGAAAGACTGAGATGAGTTCGAGTAACCTTCATGACTAGTGAAGATCGTTGGATATTCTGAAGGCAACACAGGGACCTTAGCTGGGAAATGTTCTAAATTGCACTTGGTACCTGTGAGAAGAGATCAGATTCAAAATAGAGATTTTGACCATTTCCTAAGCCAGCCCTCTTCGATCTGGAGCTCACTAAGTATAGTGTAGCAATCTGAAAAATACCAGCTTGGGAAAGGTAGATCTACACCTAATCAGCTGGAAATTGATGTAACAGAAGGTACTGCAATTAGATGCATTAGCTGTGGTTGTTTTGCTATGAACATAGTCAACTTTGAAGTCTGTTTGGTCACATATTTCTTTTATATGAAGAAAACTCTTAACCAGATTTGTCCCAGGCTATCCGTGCCTAGACCAATTCTTGAATATTTTGTAAATGTTTATGATAGTGATCCATACAAATTCATTATTTACCTAAACTTTACTATAGGCAGCAGAGAGACAAGTACATTCAACTGACTGAGTCAGAATACTGGTTTGCTTAAGCTAATGCCATCCTAACTGATGTATCAATGGAAAAGACATAGAGCAGGAGCCACTTCCTGTGGTTTCGCTATAAAGATCATTTAGTTTACTTTCATCTTAGCTCCCCAACTGTTCTTTTTTTATATATTTTGAGTCATATCTTTAAAGTAGAAAGTTATGTGAAGGAATGCTTTGCCTACAGAACTATAGTTGACTCTAGTGATGTTGGAGATGACTCCTGATAATGCCTTAAATAAAGAATACTCGATGAATGCATCAATTCAGAGTTCCCACCTGAGGCACAACTACTATTTTGAATACATTGTGCAAAGTACCAGTTCCCTTGTGAAATTTCTAATGTTGGAAAAGATAGACACAATAAATGAAGAGATGACCAGAAGCAAGTTGGATTGACACAATTTCAGCAGTGATGGGGACACTAAGGGCCAGTTTGGGGAAGGGTCAGTTTGAGGATATAACATCCTGGAGACAATCTATGTGGTCACTAAGGGTTTTCACAGACTTGATGGCACACAATCAGTTGAACCTGTTCTGTCAGTATGGTAACCAATAAGCTGATGAACATTAACTCTGCAAGATCTCAGGAAGAAGTTAATTCCTAATTTAGGAAATGAGATGCTGAAGATTGTATATGAAACCATCTGGAGGATCAGTATGGATTTTGCTTGTGTATCCTCCTGTATAGATATTAGCCCAAAATGTGAGCCAAAGATTAACTTGCATGATGCATATAACCACTGTTCCACAGCACTCACCTTCTGCAGTGCTCCGGGTCAGGTTATGGTCTGTATCCCAAAAGGAAATGTTAAAGAGAGGGCTACACACAAGGGCTCTTCTTTGGGTCTTTATGTATTGGAGTAATTCATATAAGACATCTCCTGTGAGAAAAGAAACATAAATACCAATCCCACTCCATTTCTTTCAATACCAACTGGTGACAAAAATGATGCAATTTTTGAGTACCTCTACCCCCCTCCATTTGCTGTTTATTTCAAAAGGACTATTTCAACTATTTCGGCTTGAGCAATTTCTAACATTTGCAAACCAGAAAAATAGTTTTGTTGCACACGTTTGTGGGAATCTGAAATTTTCCGTTAAAACTTGCAATGCATTCAGCACATTTAGCACAAATTAATTTACCTCCTGCCCCAAGAAAGCACACTTTGAAAAAAATGTATTAATATAAACATGATCAAAAAGCCACAAAGGTAACCTGGTTCTTTCCATCAGACATCTATCACATTGTAAAGCTGCTTGACCCATGGGCTTTGGTTCAACCAATAAGTTCTTGTCAATAAAACACAATTTGGAAGGCAAATCTATTTCAAAGGAGATTAGAGATGTCATGCATCTCACAGTCTTGAGTTATTCCTCATTTATACTTGCTACATGGGATAATTCCAAGATAAGAGTGCAAACACACAAAGCCTTGACCAAGGAGGGCAACACTTCTAACCTGAATTAGGAGACCGAAATTTGAAATCTTCCTTGGTGAGAATACAAAGGGCTTTTCCATTCATTTCAAAGTTACTATCATCAGATTTCCGGAGTGAATATTCTTTTTCAGCCCATCTTAGCCAGTGAATCACATCATCTTTGCTCCATAGAAAGGGTTGGATTCCTGAAATCAAACCAGGTTACATGTAAATTAACATACCTACCCAGTCATTTTTTTTGCCCTTTTGGAAGAAGCATAAAATGTCTCAAAAAGCAAGTAAAGGACATCTCAGCAAATTATTATTAGAATTCGTTTGCTCCAACTAATATCACTCTCCATAAGTTTTAAAGATAAGTCAATAAATTTTCAAAAGGGGATTTTTTTTACAAAAAAAAGAATATTCTTTGTGATAGGAAGCAACTTTACACCAGGTCCAACTGACTGATCATCTACTCCTTGTTTCCCGAACTAGATGTCTTCAAGATGTATCAGCCTAGAATCCCACCAACTGCAGGCAATTTTTTGCCTGGTCTGATAGACTCCAACTCAAAACTATAGCTGGGGAATACTGGAATTGTAGTCCAAACACAACTAGTTTGTATAGTGTTGTCCTTACATTAGGGGCAGGTAACACTTTCTAAGCCAAGACTGCTTAACCACAAACGGTATACAGTAGTGGAACTGCACTCCAAAAAGTAGAAAAACCAAGCTAAAATTTAAATTAGATTTAATTTAAATGTAATCAAAGTAAAAATAAACTCATTTAATACAGATAATAAGAAGATATATATGCAATCCTCTGTTTAGTGTCATATTAAAATTACAACTTGGTGGCACTGCTTGGAGAAGCCTGTAGAGCATATATCCAAGGCTTTAAGGAACCATCTTTGAAAAGCTGCCTTAAATAATACCTCTTCTACTCACTGAGTCGGCCTGGCAATGTGCAGATTTGTCCATCATAGAGCGACTTTACTGATGCCTTCGAAGTAGGGTGCAATGGTAATGACAAAGCTGATGTGGCCACAGGAGTCAAAGAGCCATCTGCCACTTCAACCTTAAGGGAGGAGAAAGACACTGAAGCCATATAGTTTCCCTACAGGAAATCAGCTGTATTTCCCCAATGCCTCTTTTGTTATTCTGCACTGCCTAAAAGCTGGATAAGTAAGAATCAATGAAGGAAAATGTTCGTAATGTAACTAGAACCAATATGCTTCAGCAGAAAGTCTGCTGGATAGGCTGGAGAGAAACCCAGGTCAAAAATTGTCCTTACTCTTTGTGGGAAAACTTGGATCAACAATTGTCTCCAAAACTAAACTATACCCCAGAATCGCCATGCAAATAAAATGAATCAAATACACAGAGAAAGGATGAGATAAAAGCTGTAGACATATAAAAGGGGGAAAGCATTAAGTAATTAAGAAAAAGTTATTGGGCATTCCTAGAATAATTTTTGAAAACTGTAGGCTGGTGAAATTGGGGTGATTACAATGGCAAGCAAGACAAGAGAAAGAGAGAGGGAGGGAGGAGAGAGAGAGAGAGAGAGATGTGTGAACTGGCTGGTGGAAAAATATTGTATAGTTTTGGAAGAACAGAGCAGATTGGCAAATACGTTTTGCATCCAAGAAGTCCAGAAAGCAGTCATTTTTCTCTCCCCCCTCAGACAGAAGGAAGACCAGAAGAAAAAGTATAGAAACCAGCTGCAGAAGATTGAGAAAGAGATAAGACACTATAAAAAGCTTTGTTTGAAATAATCTACATTAACATGTTTATGTATATCTTCTTAAACTAAGCCCATGATATATATTAAATATAACTGTAAATTGAGATCTCTCTCTCTCTCTCTCCCTCTCCCTTTGTGTGTGTGTGTTTGTGTGTGTAAAAAGTTCCTTTCCCTCTTTTGCATCCCCTACAAAGGGAAAGCAAGTTGGTCACAAAAGTAGAAATTAGGAGCTAAGATTAAGCATATGAAGTGAGCACTCAGGTAACCTAAACTGGAGTTGATTAGTGTTTGCAAGAGTGATCACTGCTAAATCCCAGGATTGTTGAGTCTGGGAAGTTAAACAAACACAAACACACATCTACAGTACCTAGCAGAGGCATAGGGAGAAAAGGCAAGATGGCTATGATGGTGAGATGGAAGCGCCACTGATTTTTATGTTTGTCACATTTCATCATTAAAACCGCCATCTTAATTTATTTGGCCACACTCTACAGACACTCCTGAAATCTTGAAAAAAAGCAGCTGTAGATTTTAAAACTCAATAAATCAATAAATACCTAAGTTTAGGTATTGCACCTAAGAGTAGAGTTCACCAAATATTTGATGAAGTAAATTCTAATTCATGAACATATATTCCATAATAAACAAATTATGTTTATTCTTAATTGTATCACAAGAACCATTGTTGATTTTGCAACTGCAATTCTTTTACCATTGCATGCATGTCTTATGCAGATTGACTTTTAAAAAGTTTCAGATTCATTCTTAAATACCAGGCAATAAAGAAAATGAAAGTGAAAGATGCCCACACACTTTCATTTCAGTTTTATTCTGGTAGCTTGTTTAAAAATCTATTTTTAGTACTGTATTTATTCATAATGGTATAACATACGGGGTGTCATTTTTACTGGTTTGATATTTTATATATCTATATTTATACATGTACCCACTTTTAATTTGAGTGTAAATTGCTCCATCCTGCCAAGCAGCATATTAATCCATGCAACTAGCATGTCAATAAGTAAATGATTTCCAAATATCTTTTTTTTTTCAAAGAAAGAGTAGCATACCATGTCGGTGTACACAACAATAATGCCTGGTTTAAAGAAGTGTTCCCACAGATGGTGTTCAGTTGTCCTCCTTCTCTGATTGTGGAGGAATGCCTTGACTTACAAAAGATAAGGCTTCCACAGCTTCTCATATACAGGAATGCATAACCTACATGGTCTTCTAGACCAGCATTTTTCAGACATGTTAACTTTAAGATGTGCAGAGGTTCAACTCAACTTGCTGGCTGGGGAATTCTAGGAGTTGGAAGTCCACACATCTTAAAGTTGCCAAATCTGAAAAACACTGGTCTAAAGCAGAGGGCTAATTGGGACAGAAAGGGAATACAGGGAAAAAATAAGGTCGCCCTTATCTGAAGTAAATCGTCCCAATTAGGCACCATCCTTTGTGCTAAAGTACAGTACCCATAATTCCCAACAGTGGCATGCTATGAGTCCCATTCATTAAGGAATGCTGGCTTCCAGGGACTAAGAGTCTTGCCTTCTATCAAAGCTCCTGCCCTCTGGAACATTCTTCTTTCAGAGCCGAGGATGACCCTTTCGAAAAGCCTTGAAGACTTATTTGAGATGGGCAGCTATAGAAATTGATTGATTGGTTGAATCAATGAATAAATAAACATGCCCTGAAGCAATGCTGAATGGGAATCACTGCAGCACAACCCAAGACCCCAGGTTGAGGAAGGCTGGTTGAAAATGTACACTTAAAATTGCTCCTTTCCACTTTCTACCCCAGAGTTTAAGATAGAAGGAAGGATACAGCCCAGATTTGTTTTTTAAAGTGTTTTAAGTTTTGCTTGCATGAATCTAGCCTTAAAATATGTGATCCACTATTTTCCCATTTGAAACAGCTTCATTAACTCACACCCGGATTAATTTTGCCCAACCAAACGCTGTTTCTCAAAGAAAACAGCTAGTTGCTTAACGTCTCCCTTTTCTTGTGAAAAGCCTGGGGAATTCCGAACTTTGTCCATTTTGAAACGTTTTTCTTTTGAACCACCAGAGAAATGCTTTCCGTGGATACAACCTAGTCCACAGAACCCCAACGCTTTCTGAAGCGTGGCGGGACGCTGCCCTCCAAACGCCTCAATGTATCCACCCCGTGTTTCCAGCCCGTATGAAGGAGAGAGAGATGTGGGGACCAGGGAAGCCGCCCGGGTCAGACCTTGGCACGGATGGGCATTGGGCGAGAGGACGTGACAGAAGGCGCGGAGCCTACGGGAATCTAGGGCGCTGGGGGAGGGCACAGAGAACAAGGGAAGATCGGGGAGGGGGGGTCAGACAGAGCACCTGCTGCTCTCCCCCAAGCCCTTACCTGCATTACAAGGGGAGGCGAGGGGAGTGGGGAAACCGCGGGGCCAGGATCGTCTGGATGCGCGCAGAATCCTATCCAATTCCCCTTCAGCCCAGGCGGTGCTCGCTGTCCTTCAGGAAAACGAAAACGAAACGCGCCGCCCCGAAAGGTGCTGGAACTTGGCCTGTAACGCAGCCGCCGTCCGCGCTCGGAGCGACCTCTGAGTCTCTCTCTCTCTCTCTCTCTCTCGCCTCAGCGCTGGCTTATTCCGCCCCTTGGTGAATCTCCCGCGGACCCCTGGCGGCGCTTCCAAAGACCCGAGCTGCACTTCCCTCTCCCGTAAACTCTCCAGACGGGGTTGGGTTGACCTCGAGGCAGGAGGTCCAAGCGAAACTCTTGCCGGAAAGCTGATTCATACCCCTCACCCCCCGCCCCCAAACGCTGGTTTATGGCATGGGGTCAAACCAAGCCAGCGTGCTAATATTTGTTGTATTTAATTCCAAGGAATATCTGGAATATCAACTGGTGCCTTTCAACAAAACCGCGCGTGCAGGTGCACTTCGCGTTCAGAGTCATACCTGAAAAATAAATCAATTTAAATAACTTGTATGCACATTGTGTATCGCGGTATTTTACTTCTCCTTGGAAGTTAACAAACAAAATTCCATCATAGCCAATCAAGTCAGAGTCCTCTTCAGTCTAGGGCAGGTTTGCACAACTTTTTCTGGCAGAGCGGGTGTGTCAAGTCCTTTCTACTTTTTGAAAAGTAGGTGAGGCTAGGACAAAAGTAGTGAAGCCAGGACAAAACTAAATCTAGTTAAACTCACTATAATTAATCCTCAAGTTTCCAAACTGTTCTTTTGACCCACTTAAAATGTGAAATGGCTGGCAACTTTCGGGGACCACCTGGCACCTCAGGTGGTAGGGAGTAATTCTCCTTTTGATACATGAAGGGAATTGTGCTGACACACAAGGATAGAATCCTTGAGTTACTTTTGATCTATGCTACTACCGTAATAGAGATTATCCTGATAATTAAATGTGATCAGTTTTGAACAACCAAATTTGCTTTTTCTTGCTGTAAACCACCTTACAGATTTATTACAGATTCATGTAATACATAACCAAACAATGTACTACTTGAATGAAAGGGTGAGGTTCCAGGAACTTTGCCAAAATCTCATTATCAACCTGATCGACCTAGATCGGTCAATACTGTTTAGTTTTCTGGGCATCAATGAATGTAGGAAATGAAGTGACTGCCGATCTACCAACAGTTTACAATACATTAAGAAGACACCATTATTGAATTGTAAAATTACCAGATCTAGAAAAGTAAAACCTGAATGATCTCTAGATGCAGCAAAGGATTAACATTGTCTGATATATTTAATATTTTTTTCTGCCCTCTAGCGAGTGTCCAGATTTTTGTAGCCCGGGTCTGGCAACTTTTATAAAAGTTAATGGTACTAAGATGAATGTGTTTACACTTGTGATGGCCTTTGGCAGAGCTGATATGGGATGTTACATCTATCCTTATGCTCCTTCATTTCATAATGGCTTTTGATGCCATCAATCACAATATCCTTTTGGACCAGCTGTAGGGACTAAGAGTGGAGGATACCATTTTAACGGGTTGTCCTTCTCCTTCTGTGGCCTATTTCAATTGGTGCCAATGTTGGGAAAATGTTCAAACCCAGATGTAATCTCTGTGGCATGATGTAGGGGCTTTGATTCTTTCCCCCTCTTGTTCAACAGCTAAATGAAACCAGTGCTTGAGTTTATGCATTGATTTGGGGTTTGGTATCATCAGTATACTATTCAATTGTGTGTTTTGATTCTGGACCATCCTTGACTTGCTGTCAATCTTCTGTCCCAATGTCTAGAGAGGCTGTGAAGAATTGATCCTGGGAAACTTCCATCTCTATAGTCTTGGATAAGGCAGCATTATCCTTTGAGGTGAATGGGCAATCTGGGAGTAGCTTTGGATTCAAACTCCTGCTTGAGGAGGAGATAACAGTTGTTGCCAAGAGTCTCTTCACACAGACCCATCTAATGTGCTTGTTGTGCCTGTTCCTGATTTGGAAGACTCTCCAGATTATTATTCATGCCCTAACCACCTCCTGAATAGACTACCATATTGTCTTGTGCTGTATATAGGTGTATCTTTGAAAGCCTACATGTGGTCTAGAATGTGGCAGCATAGTAGTAATTAGTTATTAGTAGTAATGCCATGGTTTTGGGCAGCATAACACTAATGGTTTCTCTGTCTGTCTGCCTGCCTCTCTCTTTGTGTGTGTGTGTGTGTGTTTCTATTGTTTTCTATGGTCAAAATATTTTGGATTTACAGAATTGCTTTTGAGTTTGTTCTGTCAATATATACCTCAGACTTTTTTGATGAGATATTTTGATGAGATAAAGACCGAATGCACCAATTATCACATTAAACAAGAGGAAAACCTTCTAAGCACCAATTCCACCCGTGCTTTTTACAATTTTGTAAACAACAAACTAAAAGACTCAAGGTCCATCCCTCCCTTGATAGGACCTGATGGTAAAGACTGCAACGACGACACCATTAAAGCCAACATCTTTAACACATTCTTCGGCTCAGTATTTGTAAACAGCAATGGATCATGCCCAGTATTTCCTAGCCGTACCACAGATAACAACAATGATCTAATACATATCAATTTCACAGAAGACAATGTTGAAAAAGCACTACGCAACCTAAAACCATCTCTATCTATTGGACCGGATGGAATATGTGCCTACTTCTTAAGAAAGCTATCCACTGCCATAGCCAAACCTCTAAGCATAATTTTTGAAAAATCTTTCAGGACCAGCTCCTTGCCTAACCTATGGTCACAAGCCACAGTCATCCCCATCTTCAAAAAGGGAGACCCAAGCCTAGTTGAAAATTACAGGCCAATCTCCTTATGCTGCGTCACCTGTAAAGTCATGGAATCAATTATTAACCAATCCATCATCCTTCACTTAGAGACAAATAACCTACTCTCCAATAAACAATTTGGTTTCAGAAAAAAACTATCCTGTAATCTGCAACTCTTACACTGCAAAAACATATGGACGACACAACTCGACCAGGGCAAAGCAATAGACGCAATCTACATAGACTTCTGTAAAGCCTTTGATTCAGTGGTACACGACAAACTACTCCTAAAAATAAAATCCTATGGTATCTCTGGACAACTGAATAACTGGATAGAAGCATTCCTGTCAAACAGACAACAAATGGTCAAAATCGGGAGCGTACTATCAAATCCAGTACCTGTCAATAGTGGTGTTCCCCAAGGCAGTGTTCTAGGACCAACTCTCTTCATACTCTACATAAACGACCTCTGTGATCATATTAAGAGCAATTGCGTTCTCTTCGCTGATGATGTAAAGCTGTTCAATACCACAGACAATACTGCTACCCTACAAAAAGATCTTGACTATGTATCAGAGTGGTCAAACAAATGGCAACTTCAAATCTCAACAAATAAATGCTCTGTCTTACATATTGGCAAAAAAAATCAGAAAATAAAATACAAGCTGAATAGTCAAGATCTTGTTGATGACCCAAGCTCTGTAAAGGACCTTGGAATACTCACCTCTAATGATCTAAGTGCTAGAGCCCACTGCAACTACATAGCCAAAAAGGCATTAAGAGTTGTTAACCTAATCCTACGTAGCTTTTTCTCTGGTAATATCACACTACTAACCAGAGCATACAAAACATTTGCTAGACCAATACTCGAATACAGTTCATCAGTCTGGAACCCACACTACGTATCTGATATTAGCACAATTGAGAAAGTCCAGAAATATTTCACAAGAAGAGTTCTCCACTCCTCTACTCGTTGTAGAATACCTTATGCCACCAGACTTGAAATTCTAGAACTAGAAAACCTTGAATTACGCCGTCTTCGGTCTGACTTAAGCATGGTATATAAAATCATACATTGCAATGTCCTACCTGTCAATGAATACTTCAGCTTCAACCATAACAACACAAGAGCACACAATAGATACAAACTCAAAGTAAACCGCACCAAACTTGATTGCAGGAAATACGACTTCAGCAATAGAGTGGTCAATGTCTGGAATACTCTACCCGACTCTGTAGTTTCTTCCCCAAACCCCAAAAACTTTAACCTTAGACTGTCTACTATTGACCTCACCCCTTTCCTAAGAGGCCTGTAGGGGGCGTGCATAAGCGCACCAACGTGCCTACCGTCCCTGTCCTATTGTTTCTCTTATTCTTTTATTTTTCTTATATGTACCCATTTCATGTATTCACAACTATGTATACATTTATACTTATTATCTTGTAAACAATTGGCAAATCAAATAAATAAATAAATAAATAAATATTTGGGTGAAATGTTTTGTTTCAAGCTCAAAATGGCAGTTTTCATTTCATATTTGAAAATTGTAAATAAACAAACAAACAAACGAACCTCATAGAAGAAGAGCATCAGCCTCAACCACATCTTTATTTCCACACAGGCCAGTAGATACTACATGCAACCTGGTTCCCAGAAACAGAAGATAAATCTTGCAGGTGACTAAAGCTCGGGCTTTCTTTGGAAAATAAAAATAGATTGAGCTAGTAAAGTAAAGAACACCTTCGGGAGGAAGAATGGGTAGCAGGAAGTACTTTCACTAGTTTGTGACCAGTCATTGGTGCTTATGCTTATTACTGGAAATTACTGAGGGGAATTTCCAGTTTACTTCGTATCCTGCACATTCTCAGTCATTCTCTCTATCCAGATCAGAGCAAGCACAGAAGCCGCTCAGTTTGGCTAGCAAAATATCTAGCCTGATCTTCATTTATGAAACACCCAGCAAATGTCAAACAGAGTTAACTGGCAAAACCAGGATAAAAAGCAGGAAAAATAGACAGCAACAACAACAAACAACAGGCAACAATTTACATTATCTATGTACAGTATCTATATTTATCAAAAGAAGCAGGATTTTCCAGCACCACTGAAAATAATTCTGAGCCATGAAAGAAACAATCTGATGAAAGGGGACGATGTGTCCAACATTTAAGACATTTTCTCAACAAGGGTCCCTTGACAGTGAGATGGGCAGCATATAAATTCAATAAATAAAATAAAAAATAAAATAAATTTCAAATGTACCCACTAACCCCA